AACAAAGCCCTTCATACCTATTTGATTTATTCTCAAACAGGGAAACTGGTCATGATTTGCGTGGCGGCAGCTTAAAACTCCTGAACTGCCGCACAGGCAGTAGGCATACGGGGAAAAAAGTCTACGTTACCATGGTGCTAGTCTCTGGAATCAGCTTCCAGTCTGTTTGAGAGACGCTACCGATTTAATTTCTTTTAACAAAATGATAAATACATGGATGGGCAAGAAATGCATGTGTGCAATGTGTAGGTTCAGGTGTTGTGCAATTATATTCAACAGCAACATGAAATGTAATTGCAATTGCATTTTTATTGATCATATAGTATATACATTGCCCACAGCCCAAACAGTAACATGTCCTTGCTTTATATTTTATCATACCCATACCTGTATCATAAACTTGTATATTTTTTTCATCAAATGATATGTTGTTATAACTGTTTTTATACATTTGTTAGATATTGGTTAAAGAGCTTTCCAGCTCATGTTTACTGTTTTAAATGTACCGATGAAAATAAAGATTATCTACTACATCTACAGATACAAAAACGTATCTGTTCTACAAAAAGCGTTCAGTTCTAGGTGGTGTCGATAGAGGGCGGTAATGATGGACAATATGGCAGCGGTCACAAAAACCTATGATGTATAAGTTACTATTTACTATTTAGTAACACAACTTACAAGCACAAACACAATACTGACACAACTTGTGAGAACCAAATGAATTCAACGTGTAATAATAGTGATGTAGCGCATCGGCAAATCCCTGAATGTAATGCGACTGATCTCGCAATAAAATACACCGTCTTCGTGGTTTAATTCAGCTGCGGAAGATTTGGGCATGGACGTGGTCATGCCACTTCCCATCGGCGTCGAGGATGACGACGACGACACGCACTTCTGCCTGCGCTGTCAGATGACGATCAGCGGCATAGACAACTACGTGACGCACCGGCGCAGCGAGTGCTCGGTACTGCAGGCGTACGCCAGGCACATCCTCCTGCCGCCAGCACCCACGCTCGACGTTCGTATTATATCGACCCACCAGGGGGAGGATGGGTGCATGTCAACCCAGCCGGAGCACGTCGTCAGCGAGTCCGCTCGCGAGAGAGATGATAACAAGTCAGACCACAGGCAGAAGGCAGTAGATGCTTCATCTCACGTGCTGGGCATAGGCGACAAGTCGGACCACCAGGGGGAGCTCTGCAATGTGCCAGCCCACCAGGAGGAGCTCTGCAATGCACCAGACCACCAGAGGGAGCTCTGCGATGTGCCAGACCACCAGGGGGAGCTCGGTGACATGCCAACCCACCAGGGGGAGCTCCGTAACCCGCCAGCCCACCAGGGGGAGCTCTCCGACCCGCCAGCCCACCAGGGGGAGCTCTCCAACCCGCCAGCCCACCAGGGGGAGGAGTGCGATGATAACACGAGTCTACAGACGTTTTTCTCGTCGCTTGAGTTGTGCAAACCGGACGACCTCGGCGGATTGTCTCTGACGCCGCCCAGACAGAATCGCCAAGTCGGCCCCGACCATCCGCAGTTGAAGCCGACGACCGCAGATGGCGTTGTTCACAATACGGATAATGACCGCGAGAAACACGAGATGCCTAGTGTCACTTCTGCGGGCGTCGCCGCTATTTTACCCGCCGAAGGCGCCACCGTCGAAGGTGTCGAGGTTGCACCGAAAAGGCGGAGGGGGAGACCCCCAAAGCATAAAAGCCTTGCCTCGCGAGAAGACGGGAAGATTAATAATGGGGAGGTGACGACGGGCGAGACGACGAATCTCAGACGAACCACACGACGTGCCGTGCCGAAACGATATGACGACGTCTATGTCTACAGTGATGCCCCCTTCAGGAGGACGTCCAACTCAAGTGGGCATGATTCTGACGGGGGCGACGTTGCCGTGCTGGGGGCAAAAATAAAATCGGAGACGTGCGAAGAGATCGTCGGCACCAGCGAGATTCACTTCAAGTTTGAACGCGACGTCGACGCCGCGGCGATGCGATCGGACGACGTGCTCCACGCCAACACGGAGAACAGACGCCCCGCGTACGGGAAGAAGCGGGCGGGGTCTCCGTCGTCGTCGTCGTCGTCGACGACAACGAGGAAGCCGTGTCCGGTGTGCGGGAAGGAGGTGCGCGTGGGCTCGCTGCCGGCGCACGTGCGCACGCACACGGGCGAGCGTCCGTACAGCTGCGCGGTGGAGGAGTGCGGGGCGACGTTCGCGCAGCGCTGCACGCTCGCGGCGCACGCGCGCACGCACGTCGAGCGGCGCGACCACGCATGCGGCGTGTGCGCGGCGAGGTTCCCGCGCGCCAACGCGCTGCGACGGCACATGTACGTGCACGAGAAGGACCGGCCGCGGCCGCACCGCTGCGACTCGTGCGGGCGAGGCTTCCACGAGCGATCGGTGATGCGGCACCACATGAAGATCCACGGCCTGTACGGCGGCAAGAACGTGCGCTGCCCGGCCGACGACTGCGAACGCGCGTTCCGCAGCACGTGCGAGCTCACGCAGCACATGCGCGTGCACACGGGTAAGAAAGGGGGCGCCAGTGTTGCGTGTGTTTCAGGGTGCAAATGTATCACGGGTAATACGGGGGTTGCCGGTGTTGTGTGGATGTTACTGTTAGGGGTTTCCAATGTCACACGGGTAAGACAGGGGATGTCAGTGTTGTGTGTGTGTTTAAGGGTGCCAATGTATCACAGGTAATGCGGGGGTTATGTGTGTATGTTTGGGGTTTCCAATGTTACACGGGTAAGACAGGGGGCGCCAATGTTGCATGTGCTTTAAAAGGGTGGCAATGTCTCCCGGGGGTTGTATGTGTGTGGGTGTTTGGGGTTTCCAATGTTACACTGGTAATCAGGCATGTCAGTGTTGCATGTGCTTAAGGGTGCCAATGTCTCAAGGGTAATACGGGGGGTTGGGGTTGCCCGTGTTGTGTGTATATAGGGTTTCTAATGTTACACTGGTAAGCACGGGGTGTCAGCGTTTGGTGTATTTTTGAGTGGCAATAAGAATGTAGATAAGGCAGTGAACACTAGTACTCTCTGGATAGGTGAGGCAAGGGGCACTAGTTTTCTGTAGAAAGGTGAAGTGGGGCCACCAGTATCATGTGGATGTGTTAGGCAAAGGCACCCGTGTCCTATAGATACATGAGATGTTTTGATTTGGTATTAATGTCTATTTATTATTATTAATATTATTAATTTATTATCATTATTTTTATTTTATGTCCATTTATTAATGTCTGCTCGTTTGTTTGCAGGAGAGCGGCCATTTCTGTGTGATGGGTGTGGATATGCAGGTACGTACAAGCCCCACTGCACAACTAGTGATGGGTGATGGGTGGTGGGTGGTGGGCTCTGTATTCAAAAAGTTGTGTATTCTTACTTGCACTTAGTGACTTTACTTAGACTCGACCTTTATTCTGAGTTTTGACTTTAGCCCGTGTGTTGTTTAATGCTCATCAGACTTGACCTTTATTCTGAGTTTTGACTTTAGACCGTGTGTTATTTAACGCTCAACAGACTCGACCTTTATTCTGAGTTTTGACTTTAGACCGTGTGTTATTTAACGCTCATTGTTGTACTCTAGGTCGCACGCAGCACCAGCTGACGAAGCACACGCGCTGCCACACGGGCGAGCGACCGTTCAAATGCCAGCACTGCGAGTATGCGGGCACCAACACGACGCACCTGAAGCGGCACATGCGGCTGCACACGGGCGCGCGGCCCTACCGCTGCCCCTACTGCCCCTACACGGCCAACAACCAGGAGAACATCCGCAAGCACATCACGAAGACCGGCAAGCACGCGGGCCGCAGCGTCTACCCGTGCGGGTTCTGCAGCTACGGCAGCAACTCCGGCATCGAGTTCCGTGCGCACCTGCTCGCGAGTCATCGCCCGCACCTCGCCACGCTCGGCCTGCACCACCTATCTGTCCTCGACGTCGCCGCGCTCGCCGGAATCTACGACAAGACGGGCGACCAGAAGGCGCTGCAAGCGGGCAACGTCATCCAGCTGTCGGGCAAGCAGCTCGCGACGAACCGCAAGAAGGGCGCGAAGAGGGCGCCGGCGTTCAAGGCGGCAGCGGCCGACGTGCCGGCGGAGCGCCCCCTGGCGGCGGCGGGGTGCGAGGAGCGGGTTCCGCGCGTGCCGCGAGCGATCCCGCGCGCGTGGCTGCGGGCGACGGGCGCTGACCCGGCGGAACCCGCCGACGACGACCCGGCCGCCGCCGCGAAGACCGACTCGAGTCCCGACGTCGCCCTGCAGGGGGCGCTACTCGGCGGCGGCGGCGAGCCGTCGGGAACAATCTTCTTCCTCGAGCAGGTGGCAGACGGCTCGGGCGCCGGGGAGGACGCGACGGCGACGACGGACGGTGGCGACCCCTGTGGTCTCGCGCTGACGGGGCACGCGTCCAATCAGGTCCTGCAGCTGTCCGCTGACAGCATCCTCCAGCTGTCCGCTGACAGCATCCTGCCGCTGCTCGTATCGCAACCCGAACTCGCACAGCAGATGGAGCCACTGGTCAGCATGCCAGAAGAGGAGCAGAACGTGATGTACTTAGTTTATCAGGACGAGTAATTAAAACGGGCCGCGTCACCACAAGGAAGCTCTTAGGTGGCGCTGGGCGCTCACACAACTATTCTAGGTGGCGCTGTGCGCTCACACAGCTATCCTAGGTGGCAGGCTGCTAGCGCAATGCAAAGTGCATGTGGGGGATGGGCTGTAAATAATCGCTATCATGTTTACGTGAGATGATACTGCATTCCGGTGAACTGCAGCAACGTATGTAGTATGTAGCTACTATCATTCAAGTATTGCCTCTTCGAGAAGGAAGAATAAGGGCCACAGGTTGTCAGTGACAAAGGACCAATATTGTGTTATGTTGTTATGATCTTGTTTCAAAATAAATTTGTTGTCACTTTCAACAAATTGAAATCGCAGCCAGTTTAAATCACCTACAGACACGACACGGCGAGAAACTTACTTTCTTTGCATAGTATTTTTTTATTTTATCATACACATACTATAACAACGAATATAGTAAACTGTAAAAAACTCATTTGCCTTTCGAAAAATACAAGTTTCGGACAATTGCACAGCTGTTTTCAGTGGTACAACATGCCAGTATTTGTGTTTCAGTTAACAAACGTTGCATCCTTGTGATAACTAACTCAGTTTTGATCAAACTAGTGAGATCACTAGCATCTAGACTGGTCCAAAGCTGAACCTCGTTCACCTTGTCCAATTTATTATACGTTTATAGAGGGGTTGCACCAGTCTACACTGCCAGCAGCTCAAGATATGTTGGTGGAAATTTTAATCCTATAGATTATAGCTTTTATCACAAGTGGCAGTAATGATTTAATAGTTTCATGATGTGACCCCGAATTCCTGCTTTGACAAAGCATTCAATCTCTCTTATTACTTTAATCTCTCTTACTACTGCTAATCTCATAGTTTTATTGCTCGATCTTACAAAGCTATGGCATCAACATGACCAGTGGAGGGAATCTATCAGATATCAGCAAGCCACGTTCAAACCCGTAGTAGTTTCACACCATAGATCACCAAGCAACACTAGTCCTGTCTGTCGCACAGCAGTGGCATGTTAAATTTCAGATGGGTGAAAAGCTTAGAAATATATCTTTTCCTGAACTGCGTGTAAAATTTGATAACGACGATTTTGTACGTTTTTAGACATGCTCATTTCCTGAGTCAAGAAATCACTCTAGTGGTCAAAAGATGACATAGGCACTGCTCTTTACATATCAATGAAACAGCTACGTTCTCTGTACACTTATTGTTACTGTTACACAGCAAGCTGTAGCAAGTGCTCGAAAGTTCCTATTATGTCATTGCCATATTATTTATTCTACTAATCGATAACTTTTTTTAAACTACCATTCCCCAATACGAAACATTATCACTATATGCTCTTTCATTATTAAGAACACCGGACACAGCCACTGCCTCTGTACAGTTAAACATAATTTCACAAACCAAAAGAGAAAGATTACAAACAATAGTAAGAAAGAGAGAAATAGCTACTCAGTGCAGTCACCTGTTATCAATGTATACATTGACAAAAAGAACACGTACTCGCGTAATTTCTTCCGAAAGCTTTATTTCACAATTAGCTGAATGATAATAATCTACAAGTAATAAAATACAGTTAAAAGTTGTGATCCTTAAGAGAAATTATAAATATGCAAGACAAGTCAGACAATTTGCACACGATTTCAAGATAATTAGAAAAAAAATTAGTACTAACCTTTGTAGTTATATAATAGTATAGTAATTTTTGTCATCGTTTCGAGTTCATTTTACATATTTTTTTTATTTTTTTTAAAAATATTTTTAACGCGTCATTCTAACGCACTTGTGGGCTCAGGGTCGACAGAGTGCGAGTCGCAGGTTGTCATGGCAACAGTTTATCAAGGGTTTCAACTTTCTAGATTTACGACTGAAAATTTACAGTTACAAATCAGGATATTTACCATGGAGTTTTTTTGTCAGGGGTACAAAATATCAGTATATGGTTTAACCACGGCCATGACGGGCAGAATTAGCAGTCGCCATACCAGACAAAATAATGAATGACACTCAACCAACAATGCACGTGACATTGACATATTTGTGCAAATGAATTTCGTAGCCTGCTTCATATGTGAGCGGCTGCATTGTGATGAATTCTTAACACTTGTGCTTTTGATAGGCGATGCCTAATTCTTCTCACAGCCCCTTTGACTTGACCTCTGTCGAACCTGGTTTAGGGAACCAATGTACACAAACTGCAGTGGCTGTGGTACAGGCTGAACGTGCTCTCTCCGTCTCTCACTCGCTCACACATACACACATCATACCATCCACCCCGTCACACTCAACGATGCACCGCAAACCCCTCGAATGTCCGAAACGACAACTCCGTCAAGTTGCCGCTCTAGCTGGCATGAAATAGCACGATCCAAAAACCACGAGGGCGACTCTACCGGTCAACGCATCGAAGCATTAACCTTCGACTAAACAAACGCCGCGTTCGTCGAACGACAGCGCAGCTTCCAACCGCTTACTCCGTGCTTTGCTTCCAAGGAGTGCACTGCAGCATGCGAACGCTATACCCTTAACACGGATGCCAGTGGGGAAATGGGATTTACTCCACCGTGTACACCATCAATATCGTGTTGTTGCCAACCTTCCCGTTTCTGATCGGCCGGCTGCCAGGTGGTGCCGCCGAGAAGCCGAGAAACATGAACGTTCTGATGAGGGAGGCTGAAAGGACAGAGAACGGGAATGTAAGGTAGTGTTCGCAAGATGTGAAAATGAAACTAATTGGCCCTTCGCTTCTATTGTTCGCCCTCAATTCGAATCTTATCATCACTTCTCTTATATGCTACATCGAATTATAGAGAGAGAAAACCAAAACCATGCTGTCGTTCATGGATCCCTGAACTGAAACTGAAAGTTTAGTGCCCCAGGTAATGTATTTTGTGGTTGCAGTAGACTGACTAAGCATTACAGATCTGGATAAGTTTGCACAGAAGAAAACTCCTCCATTCAACGATCTTCAAATAAATGCCCATGAAAAATGAGATGGCATTCAATAACAGAATGAGTGACAAAATTCTCACATTTACGATTTTGCATGGTCATTTGGGTTAGGAAAAGCCAAACCTTTAAAGCATGGCCTCATGTTTCTTATTCAAAGGCAAGACATGCAGTTACTAACCTCTATCACTTCTGTTCTTATCGAAGTAGATTAGGACCTCGGAGCATTCCAGAGTCTCTTCCGCGTATTCAAGAATGGAAACAAAACTATCAAAAAATACAAACAAAACACAACATGAAATAAGACTACTTTCTCATCAACGCTTTAAATATCAAGGATTTTGACGACAGATTTCTCTCAGCACTTCCTTCTATGACAGATTGCATGCAAGTAGACGTCTCCGCGATTGGTTTGTGTCCGCGCCGAACGAGAGACGGGGACCACACTAACCTCTCCTTAGATCCCTCGGGAAGAAGTCCGTCAGGGATCTTGATGTAGAGCCTGTCTCGCCAGAGGAATGTGCTCCACTTGACGAGGACGGAGTCGGTGAGCTGCACAGCAAAGTGCAGCGGCACCGGATCCTTACACGTCTCATCACCCTGCAACGACGACAACCGCAACGCGCTCACGACTCAGATTCAGATTCTTTATTTAGCACATTTAACCTAGTTACAATACAGCAAGTGTATGATAGGTATAACGTGAGTATAAATAAAAAAGAATAGTGAACTTACTAACAAATGAGTGCTGTGAGGGTCAAAGTAGCACTAGGCTTTCTAGTCGACCCCCACATAAGTGTTGAAATATTACACTCTTCTTGTATCTTCTTGTTAGTGTAAACACAGATTCATAATGACTGTACATGTTTGTTTATAAGATGAAGCAATTTCTAGTAGCAATTGGACGGTGGTGCCGCCCTGCATCAGAGCGGTACATTATCTAACTAGCGTATAAGTAGGAAATGACGTAACGTTAAAAGTTCTAGAATTTTCTGTGAGCATATTATATAAGCAGCATGCTCTCGCTGCACTTTATCTTTTCGAAACTTGTGCATTAGACTACGTGTGCGTTACTTGTACAGTGTGTATCACCAAATAAATCTCAGTCATAAGAAGAATCCTATATCTTGGACTCAGTAATTCAAGAGTTTCAACAATAAGTGCCCCCCCCCCCAGTGTAACTCCGCACCACTGTTGATTCATTGGCTTTCAAAGTGCGAGGACGGTGTACCTCCATTATAGATTACAATAGTCTTTACATTGTGACTACAATCTCAGGCTGGAGAGTGAGCCAAACTCCAACTCTCCACCACCAACAATAACACTAAATTCAGAGTGGGCAATACGGTACACCAGGGAAAATGATGTCAAGTGGAGAACCGAAAGCATGTGTAGAGAGACGGAGTGGGAGCATGCAGATGTCCTTGTTGATACGACACAATGAGAAATGTGTGGTAGCAAGATTATCGAAAGTGACGCATTCGGCTTAACAACGAGTGAGAAATCGTGTCGGGGATAATGGTGCGGAACGTAGCAAACTGCAGCACAAACTCACAATCAGGCTGATCTTGCTCGGTACAGATGGGAAATCCCATTTCCCCACGCCGCTGCCCACCTGCGTTAAAAACACATTCGCAACGGCGTGGGGTTCATCAAAAGCACTGCAGGGGACCTGTATCCAGTGTTATGTACCGTTGTTTCGTACTCAACCTGCGGGGAGAACGTGCTAGTGAACGGTGGAAATTGACTATAGAAGTCCTGCGAGAGTAGCACAGACAACTTAACAACAAACTACTACATTTAAATAAATATTACTACAAATATCTATCATATAATTAATATATATATAAAAATATTATTTAATTATAATGGCGTTTACTACTACTACTACTAGTTCAGTAGTTGTTGCACATGTTGTAGATTTGGAACCTCATATAGTTTAGGTTGTAATAAGTCATATCTAAAGAAATCAATCATTTAGTAGATAAATGACGCGGTCGACTTATTTCACAATAGGCATAGCATCGACTTTGACCCCATTCCCCATGGCCATGGCAATAGACTGTGAATAGTACTTACTACTTAGTTATACTTATAGTTATACTAGTTATAGCGTAGCTCTAGTACTATAGCTCGCGTACAGTTGCCACTGGCGGTGGCAACTGTACGCGGGCTATAGTACTATAGCTAGTTATAGAGTAGCTGGGGTGGGCATTGGTCAGAGGAATCTCGGACCAAGCGTAGCTTTACGTCGGCCATGATTGTTTACGACGTAGATACTCCCAACTCGGTTTATCATACAGACTGTGCTGTTGAACTCAACTAGTCTTTACAATTACATTTATATAAAGAATGTTTAATAACATTTAGTCTTATCAAACCTAACTGCAATCACTTACTGACTACTTGACATCGACGGGCATTATTTTAGGTTCACGGTTTTTATTAATTTTGCGTAGGAACTCCGTAGAGGATCCAGTCGGACGGATCCGCGAATATCTATTGCGTCACTTACCACGTGACTTCTGTATATATACAGCCTGGTGTGGCGAAGCTCAGAAATGGTCGAAAAAAAGAGCCCTGGCTTACACGCATTTAGTTTGTAACGCCTAACTTCATATCTTATAAAACACTGCTAAAATTTTTTGGTTATTAAAATATGTCATAGTGATAACATAGGATGACTAACACATTTGGTATTATATTTTGAAGTATGAAAAGTCAGCATATTTACAAGTGATATCATTCCGGCATTTCGCAAGTTTAGAAAACAAGATGACGTCTTATGATGTCATTAGCGAACAGCGAATAGTCGCCGAATACAATATTTTTCAGGAGGTCGTCTTTCTCCTTCGTTCGTTGTTGTGTGCGTCGTTAACAAAACTAGCCAGAGCACCAGAGGATGAAATCGATATCACAATTTTCGTACGTATACATGATCTACAATGTCCACGCACTACTAATGACTAATATTTTACTGATGTCGTAGCACTCCTTTGAGTATTACAAACGATCTATTTAACGAAAATAAATGGTAAAGGTACTAAAAGTAAAGCCATTACTCATAGCATTACGAAATCACATTATCCAGAGATGCGTACCGGTAGTCACGCTGTGAGTCATAATATTAATAGTAATAGTACTAGTAGTAAATGGTACTATTATTACGTTACTAATACTAATACTAACTCAGTTCCAACTTGATTACACTACAATAGTCAATGACAATAGGTCTCATTACTATGGCACGAAGGGTCGTTGTCGTAACAGGTACTACAGATATTGTACCCGAGGTAGTTTTAGGTTGTGTAGTATTATTTTATATTTTTATATGAGTATGTTTAGGGTTAGGGTTAGGTTAGAGTTAGGTTAGGGTTAGGGTACACTTCTGTAGTACAAGTCTGGTACACTTTGTGTATACATATATTACCTCGGTAATATCTGTAGTACCTTTATACAACGACCCTTGAGCATTACTATGCATAGCATAGAAGTGAAATTACTGTCCATGAATTTGTTAGGCTATATATGCTATTAGTATTACTATTAGTATTAGTACTATTACTAATACTATTAGTATTGCTGATAGGGTCTATGTCCCCAGGGTAGCCGAACGTACCCTGGTACTAATACTACTTATCTAATATACCGGCCGTACTCGCCTACTCCACTAACATCAGGAGTCGCCTAGTCGCCTAACCCTAACCCTAACTTCTTACCTAACCCTAACCATATCAGCTAGATAGTTACCAGGGTACGTTCCGGTATACCGGACCGTACCCAGGGTACGTTCCGGCAGTACCCTGGGGGACATAGACCCTATCAGCATTAGTATTAGTATTAACTATTATAGCTAATAGTAATAGTATTAGTAATACTATTGCCCTGGCAGTGTAAATGCTGCATTATTGATGTACGAATTTCCAGATTGACCAATGATAGTTTGGCACCCCACAAGTATGTTTTTGCATATGTGCTAAGCTAATCTGGGGTGCTGAAATAGGCTTGGTCCTAAAGTTCTCACTTTTGTGTGCCTAGACTTTTATATGCTCTAATTTGACGCCGTTTTTCGACATTTCAGGTTATCAAATAATTTTAATGAACGGTATGTAACGCTGGACGCACGTCCCCAGCAGTGTTTTTGATGAGCCCCACGCCGTTGCAGATGTGTGTTTCGCGCAGGTGGACAGCGGCGTGGGGAGAGGGGACTTCCCATCTGTACCGAGGAGGAACAGCTTCATCTTGGTGAGCAGGTGTTAAATTGACTACGTCGCGAGTTTTTTATGGTGTATATTTGTAAAAAATTTGTTGCAATTTTTTTTACATGAAAAGTAAGGACTAATGGCACTAAATGTATCCTCAAATTCTCACCTGATAAGATTGTTTTTCAACTAGTTAAAAATCTAAAAAATCTGTGCTGATTTATTGATCACGACATTAAATGCTTGCTATGGGCTATACACGTATGAGTCACGCGTGCTTGTTCACATCGAACAGAAAAGCAAAATTGGAAGTATAATGCAGCAATTTAACCATAAAAGTAAATTAACAGAATCACTTACATTTTGTGAAAAAGTGGACATGATTTTTAGCTCACTTTGACATCGTCAAGATGAGCTATTGCCATGGGTCGTCGTACATTCGTCCGTCCGTCATTCCGTCAACATTTGGCTACGGTCAACGATAACTCAGGAACCGTGTACCCACATGTGTTGAAATTGGTATAGTTGTTACTGCTATGCTCCCATATTGAACGTCCTATTTGAGCACGCCAGTCGACGTACTTCGAGCCACAGCAATTTTTTGGCAAAAATGGGAATTGCCATTAGTCAGTTCAGGTTCAACGGATTTTGCTCATTTTTGTATGTAATGAATAAGGCAGGGGTTTTGATATAAAAAAAAAAAATATGCAAATTAGGTAGGTTTTTGGCAATTATATAGCATATTATGTTACTAAACATGCAGATAACAGTCTGTGCGTCACACTCATCTGGTTTGTTTTACAAGATTTCATTGACAATATCTTTAATGCAAAATCTGGTATTTCCTCTCACCCTGGCGATAAAACATCTTAGCTATGAGCCAAGGGGTTGGTCGGTACCATACAGATGGAGTAAGGCTCATTGTGATTTTTAGCAAGATATATGTCCCTAGATATGAAAAAAATGTGATACAGTGTATAACTCTCGGCCATCTCTTGTGTATCACCCGAAATAGTATTATACCCTTCTTTGCTTCGCAAAAATTGTGTTATTTGGTAAAATTGGAATAAATTTTTTTAAGGACCACAGAGTGCCAATCATTGTCATACTGGATGCCAACTAATATAGTAATATAAATATAGAACATTTGTGGGGGTTATTTGTCAAAGTTTTGATATAATGACTAAAAATATGTTAAATTTAGTGAAAAAGTGGCCGAAATCGCTTTGACTTCAAAATTCACATTGCACGTTTCTGTCATAATTCACAAATGAAAACTCAGAGTAACATATTACCATCAAAAACTTCACAAGGACCAACTGCATTGGAATATAACTTTGTAATATGGTGGTTGTTTGTGGCACATATCTTGGCAAAGTTCAACCATACCCCCTAATTTTGATAGTTGCGAACAAAACATAGATTTTGAAAATTTTAGGTTTTAGGTTTAATTTTTTGGTATTAGCTAGTATCCCATGGTAGGTATGTAATATCAGGTACATTATATTTCACAATACATGCTTTTGATATAATGACTAAAAATATGTTAAATTTAGTGAAAAAGTGGCCGAAATCGCTTTGACTTCAAAATTCACATTGCACGTTTCTGTCAATATTTCACAAGAATGGCTCACTTGCCAGTGTGTTTTCTGGGAAGATGTACAACCGAGCAGTGTATGTGCACAAGTTTGTGTATGAAGCATTCATGAGACTAGCATGGAAGGCATTCATTCCATGGGTTGAGAAAAACAAACCAGAAGAAAAGCACAACATAACGTCTGTGTCAGAAGAAGTGAGTGATTTGGTCGAACATTTGTGACAACAGAAATTTGACAGTCTTCTGGCAAACCCCAAATACACGGAGTTAGTCACCACCTGGAACGAATTCTTAGACTATCTTCGCCATGAAAACGGAGAACTCTCAGCCTTTTGGATGTCTTATGTGGACATAGTTGAAAACGTCTTGCTTGCCCTGCTGCGTGCTGCTCAAGAAGGAAATTGGGTCTTGCATCTCTTTGCTATCCACAACATGATCCCCTGGTGTTTTGCATACGACAGATTTAACTATGCACGATACCTACCAGCGTATTATGCTGAGATGACCAATCTGGCAGCCAATCATCCAGCTGTGTACCAGGCTTTCTTGAGTGGTTTGTTCTCTGTTCAACTATCCTGTCACAATACATTTGGACGCATTCCCGTTAACCAAACGACTGAAGTCACTGTGAACAAGGACACACAGACTCCAGGAGGCACAACAAGGTTTAGTCTGAAATCAGGAGCAGTCAAGTGCTATTACATTACTGCAGAACACAGGAGGGCCTTTCTTGGTCAGATGAGGGAAATGGTACATGAAGATGGATCAAATGTTCCACATGCTGACCTGCACAAGACGCGTGTGAGGAAAGATGAGGATGCTGTTTCGACAATCGTACATCTGGTGAAGAGCTGGGTAAATCCATTTGAAGAAGCCCACGAACTT